CTCATCACTGGATGAAGGCTGGATATGTGTTATTGCTAAAATAAACAGTTCATGAGTTAACACTGAAAATTAAAAATGTGTCAATACAAAGCAAACAGTCAAGATTAAACATCCAATATCCACACAATCATTTGAAACTGCTACAATGAATTCGAGAGAGAAACCATAAGTTTGCAAATCTCTCTGTAAGCTTAGAATACTGCTCTGAAGCCCTAGCCACAAAGTCCCCAAATAAGTATTCAAAAACATACAGATGAAACTGCCCACAGCAGCTGACAATGTGATAGTGCCTTGAATTTACACCTTTAGTTTAATAATACTGCTTATCCCAAAATAAAAGTTGCACAATAACCAAAAAATAAGTTTGTTTTCCCTGCTACTCAAGACCTCTTTTCAAATCTGGTCGTCCTGCTGCACATCAGGACCGTTCCATGGCAGGGAAGGGGTGGGGGATGGTGGTGGATGGATGTCATCCATGCCTTTTGAAACATTAAGCCAAAACCACGATCCATTCATCTAACCTACTACCCCCGTTTAGCACATAAAACATGTTTTCATTAAAATGTGGTTCAAAGGGCTAGAAGACGACCCAATGCTATCTTAACGCATGGCATAATAAAAAAGTCAGCCAAATGCAAGTGAGTGGGGAGAAAAAGGACCAACTCCAATGATCCCACTAGTGAAAGCAACTTCCTAGGCTGGATATGTAAGATTAATGTTTTTTAATATAGGTCTTTTTTTGGATGTTCACCATCAAAAGATAAAATTAAATTCTCACAGCAGCCTATGGTGATTCACCACCACCTTGGGTAATTCACTTTAATTGACTGGTGCCACTGAACAGCATTTCTACCCAGGAGGAGCAGCAATATTAAAGTCAATTCCTGGAATTGTGGGTCTGATATGATTTTTTAAATCTTCAATTAAGATCAGTAGCCACTGAGTTCTTGGCCAGAGGGTAAACTGATCCCTTATCACTACTTGGTTTATGTTTCTTTTCAAATGCAAAAGGAAGAAAAGTGGTTTTTTAGAGTACAAAGATCACAGCAAAACTTGATGGAAACAATAAAATGGCTTAAATATTTTTGCTTTAATTTCAGAATGTTCTTGTTTTGCTCACTGACATCAACATGCATCATTATACTCTAAAAACCCTAATTCAATTTCCTTTAGCTCTAACTCTTGCTGTTACTGTGGACTGATGTAGTGGTATTTTACAATATCTGAGTGCACCTACAATTTGAGCAATGAGTGGTTCAACCCTAGTCTAAATTGTGCTTGAAACAGTACCTTTAAGCCATTGAAGAGGTAACCCTTGAAGGCACCAAGTACTGTTAAATTCTATTATCTAGATGTAAAAGGGAGGCCTAATAGATGCTAACTGTAGAGACAGGCCAGTTATGCCTGATTTTGATATACACATCTATTATATTTTAGCCAGATTCAAGACCTTAGAAACAATTCTGAGCCTTAATTAGCTATACAATTTAAAGAACCATCCCAACAATAAAGGCACTACAATTTTTATATATTTGGGATGTGATCAATTATCTTGCTTTTAAGAATCAGAGCTATCTGGCCATCACCAGTGTTCAAAGTAGTAAATTAAAATATTTTTGAATCTTCATGTATCAACAAGCTAGTCTGCATAATGAAGAGATTTATTATTTTCTGTACATTTGTAGCCATTTCTAAAAACAATTTGTTAGGACAAAAATCTAGGATTAGCCCATAAGAAACATGCACTTTAGTCTTGAACAGGATATAAGAAAAGCTTGAAGCCAAACTTTTCAAATAGGCTTTCCTTTAATCACATAAGCTAGGAGGCCTGGGAATGGTCAACACAGCTACTAGCAACTTCCAAGCTACTGTAGGCTGTCACTTTCTACATTTTGCCTTAAACATTAAAATTCAAAATAAAAGGGGGGAAGGAAATTTTAAAGAATTTTCCATTTCCTCTGAAACAGACTTAATCTGTAAAAATTTATGCTGGACCTGTAACATTTTCTTAAACCAATTAAGTCAAAATTAACCCACAATTTAATTTGACTTTTGATGGTTCTAAAAAGCTATTCAATACTTTTTATAGTTTAAGTTTTCATCCCTGTGGAGGAGTAGCAAATAATTCAAGTGTGATTATTGCAATAGTAGTATAAAATGTGTACACCAAAAATGTTTTCAACATACTAATAAACCAGCTCCTTTCTAAATTGTCTCTGAATTACCATAATAATTTAAACATACCATTTAAAATCCCTATTGAAAAAATTTTGGTCACTATGAAAAGAAATGCAGTCATATGAGACTGTGATTAATCTTATTCACAAACTAGAATTTGAAATAGGAATTAAGTTTCTTGGTGACTTGCTGCCTCCTAATTGCCATTATTGATACAATGATAGCTGACTCTTTACTATACTGTAATAGGTATATTAATGGAAAGGCAACTGTCTAAAAAATAAAACCATCAAAAAGTGTTTTCTTTCATGCACTGCACCTGGAATCACTACATTTAACAACAGTCTAATTCTCATTAATAATTTTTGGCAGTGAGATGTGGACACCTTTTCCCAGCATGAAAATATTAAGATACACATAACTTCTTGTGGCAAAATGTACTGCTGTTAATTGTGTTTAACTGAGCAGGTAACATCATGTGTAGTCTCTATTCCACTGAACAAAATGACTTTGAAATAGAGAGACAAGAATGGTCAGTTTTAACGAGATAGTTTAAAGATTCACATTTTCACAACAATGTGACAGATAGATTCAGACAGTCAATCTTTAACACAGAATGCTGTAATATTTTACACTGTGATGATCAGGGAAATAGTTCCAGAGAGTAACCAGCAGTCTGTGTAGGAAGCAGAAGCCCATGCTTCCAGGAATAAATATGAAGAAGCAGCTACTGTTCACACCCTAGGACAGGTGAACTCCAGAAGGACAGCCTGCTCCAGTTTAAAAACTATACCATAAGATCAGACCTTTTCCCAATTCTTAAACTCTGGTCTCCCTTAATAGTTTTTCTTTTTAATAAATTTTTCTTCCAGCCATCCAGGCTCCAGCCAGTGAGTAGCTTCCCCAAGGAGAGGATTCAGATTTCCATTCTTTCACACTAAGAAGGGCATCTTATAAAACATACACAGATAGAGAAGAAAGGCATTTTATACAGAAGCAATAAAAAATTTACAACTGAAGCAATGCCAGAAATCAGGTCAACAGCTTATCTGAAGCTGCAAACTGATTGGAAGGGTCTTTAAGATCAGGAGTTTCTGGCCTAAGGGTTCGTGCAAATTTTATCATAAAACTGTAGAATTTCAAGCACAGGTAAGTGCAAACACTGAAAGATGTGGAAATTCTCCTAAAAAGCAATGATGAAGGAAAAGACCCTTCTTACCTCATAAGTTAAAAATCACAAAACAAATTAGAGACTGTTCACATGGGCAGTACTGTACATCATCAGTCTCAAACTGATCTAAGATTCTTGTCATAGAAACCCTAAAACACCAGAGGGTAAAGAGATTCCAAATGAACCTATCACAAAAAGGATTCTTGTGGTTCAATTATCCAATTGCCTATGGCTATCAATTTAGTCTGGCCTGGGGCTGCTTTTTACAGGGAGGGGGTCTCCCATGGCGTACAATGTGTTTTTCTAAGCTGTCCAGAATGGCCACAGCAATCTGTTGGACGTGGGGATCAGTCTGTTCATGTTCTTTGATGTTGTATAAATGCTGCAATCCTCCTTCCTCAATCAGCATGCTGCAATACCTTGAGGCTGAAAGAAATTGAGAAAAAAAACTTTTCTTAAATTACTTAAATATTATTCCACAAAAAAGAGTTCTTTTTTCACTTAAACTTTAGCTGTTTTGTTATAGACTACTAACATATGCTACAGCTTGGTAAATACCTCTGCAATGATGTTATGTCTACACTGCAAGGTTCCATAGGTAACTAACATACATACCATGTATATATTTACATTTGTATTTTAATCATAACCTTAAGACATAGATAATCTGGAAAAAATGTTTTTAAAGATTTTATTTATTTTTAGAGAGAGGGGAAGGGAAGGAGACAGAGGGGGAGAGAAACATCAGTGTGTGGTTGCCTCCCCTGCATCTGCAACTGGGGACCTGGCCCGCAACCCAGGCATGTGCCCTGACTAGGAATCAAACCAGTGACCCTTGGTTTGCAGGCCAGCACTCAAACCACTGAGCTATACCAGCCAGGGCTAGTTTTTTTGTTTTAAACTAGGAAGTAGTCCACTGCATTTAATAACCCACATATTTTTAATGTTATCATACTGATGGAATTCGTTGGATTATTTTCCCCCAATGTTTTGTCATAGTGACTAAAATGCTGTAATCATACTTGTTCAAGTTTTTTGGTGGCCTTTTTATTTATATATCTTGAGGAAATACCTGGAATGCTGAGCAAATGCTAAATACATGTTTAACTTTATAAGAAATCATCAAACTATATTCTAAAGTGATTATGTAATTTTCCCACCCCATGACCAATGCTTATATAAGTTGTTTGCACCCTTGCCAACACCTGTCCTTGTCCATCGTGTTGATTACAGATAGCCTTCCTAGTAAGTGTGAGGTGGTACCTCATTGCTTTTCTCTTTTTACTTTTCTTCTTTACTCCAGACACAGAGAGGAAGAGGGGTGGGAGTGAGGGGAGAGAGGGGGAGCAGGAGGGGAGGAAGAGAGGGGGAGCAGGAGGGAGGGAGAGAGAGAGCAAGAAAGAGACAGAGAGAAACATCGAGGTGAAAAACAAACATTGATCCGTTGCCTCCCATATGTGACTTTTGGGTTAAGGGATGATGATCAAACAGAGAGCCACACTGGCAAGTGCTCTTGTTGTTTTAATTTATTTTTCTCTAAAAACTGATAATGTTGAGCTTCTTTTCATATGCTTATTGGCTATTTGTATATTTTCTTTAGAAAAATGTTTATTGAGATCCTTTGCCAACTTTTTAAAAATTTACTTATTTATTGTATACAGAACGCTTCACAAATGTGCATGTCATCCTTGTGCAGAGGCCACATTAATCTTCTCTGTATCCTTGCAATTTTTATATATATGTTGCCGAAACAAGCACTTTACCCATTTTTAAACAGGATTATTTTTCTTTTTATTATTAAGTTGTAAGGACTCTTTTATTTATTTATTTTTAGAGAGAGGGGAAGGGACAGAGACAGAGAAGGAGAGAAATGTCAGTGTGTGGTTGCCTCTCATGTGGACCCCACTGGGGACCTGGCCTGCAACCCAGACATATGCTCTGATTGGGAATCAAACTGGTGACCCTTTGATTCATTCACAGCCTGCACTCAATCCACTGAGCTACACCTTCCAGGGCAACTTGTAAAAGCTCTTTACATGAGTATATTTTAAAAACAAGTCCCCCATCAAATATATAATTTGCAAATATTTCAATCATTTTGTGGGATTTCTTTTACTTTCTTCTGTTTTAAAAAGTGTTTATTTATTTATTTTTTAGAAAGAGGGGGAGGGAAGAAGAAAGAGAGGGAGAGAAACATTGGTGTAAGAGAGAAACATTAATTGGTTGCCTCTTGCATGCTCCCCGACAGGGGACCAAACTGGCAACCCAGGCATGTGCCTGACTAGGAATCAAACTGGCAACCTTTCACTTTGCAGAATGATGGCCAACCAACTGACCTACTACACTGGTCAGGGCTGCTTTTTTTTTTTTAAGTTTTTTTCACTTTCTTGATGGTGTCCTTTGAAGTACAAAAGTTTAAAAATCTTTTTATTACATCCAATTAAATTACTTTTTTTGTCACTCTTTTGGTTTTTTTCTAAGAAACAACTGCTTAATTCAAGGTCATAACAATTTATACCTGTTTACTTCTAAAAGTTTTATATGTTCACGTTTATATAAAAGTAGCTCTTACTTTTAGGCCTATAACCCATTTTGATTTTTATGTATGGTATGAGGTAGGGGTTCCAGTTACTTCTTTTACATGTGTCTATTCAGTTTTCCCAGCACCATTTTGAAAAACATATTCTTTCCTCACTGAATTGTGTTGGCACCCTGTCAGAAATCAACTGACCATAGATATATGAATTTATCTCTGCATTCCCAATTATTTAAAAAGGTTTTTTTATTTATTGATTTTTAGAAAGAGAAGGGAGACAGACATTGATTTGTTGTTTTACTTACTTATACATTCATTGCTTGCTTCTTGAATGTGCCTTGACTGAGGATTGAACCTGCAACCTTGGCATATCAGGACAATGCTCTAACCAACTGAGCTACCAGGCCATGACTGTATTCTCAATTCTAATGCATTAATCTATATATTTACTCTAATGATGCTGAACACTTTTCATGTGCTTATTCACCATCCATGAAGGATCTGTTCAACTCTTTTACCCATTTTTATAAACTTCTATTGCTTTCTTATTACTAAGCTTTGGGAGTTGTCTATATATTTTGAATACAAGTGCTTAATCAGAAATGTAATTCACCAATATTTTGACCCAGTGAGTATATTGGCTTTTCATTCTCTTAACAATGTCTCTTAAAAAGCAGAAACCCCAAGCCTTGGATTTCCAGTCAAGATGGAGGAATAGGTAGACAGGCTTCACCTCCTTGAGCAACCATAGAAAGAATTCTAACTAGTTCTCAGAACAAAAAGCGCCCAGAAAAGCAAGCTGCATGGAAGTCTGACAACCAAGAATTTAAAAAAGCCACATTCATCCAGATGGGTTGGACGGGTGGAGTCAGAGAGATGGTTGGAGAGGCGTGGAGATGCAATGGGTGCACAGCTGGTGGTGGCAGCACACACAGTGCCACATTCACGTATGGTGGATGCAAATCAGGAGGGATACCTCGGAGCGAGGGATCTCAGCTCCAGGCCAGACCACACAGCCCATGGCTCCTGCACAGGGGAGATAAATCCCTTAACTCTTGGTTATAAAACACAGAGGGGGTTTGGGCAATGGAAGAAACTGCTAGATTTTCAAGGGACTCCATTTAAAAGGTCTGCACAGACTTAGAACACACATACACAAACCCACCCACTCTGGGACTCATCACCAGGGCAACAGATGGAAGTGTGCCAGTTGCATATGGGAAGTGGATGAAATGATTGGAAACAGGGTGAGTGTGGGAAAACCTTGAGATGCTAGGCACTGGCACTGTCCCCTCTCCAAGCCCTCGTCCCACAGAGAGCCACAAAGTGGTGAAGCAGGTTGCCCTGCCCTGGTGGACCTAAGGCTCCACCCCACACAATTTACAGGTGCCTTTTCTACAACAGGCCATGCTACTGAGACAGGGAGTCAAAGAAGCTCTACCTAATACACAGAAACAAACACAAGGAAACTGCCAAATTGAGAAGACAAAGAAATATGGCCCAAATGAAAGAACAAAATCTCAGGAAAAAAAACCTAAACAAAATGGAGATAACCAACCTATTAGATGCAGAGTTCAAAACACTGGTTATCAGTAAGCTCAAAGAACTCACTGAGTATGACAACATAAAGGAAGAAATGAAAGCAACACTAAGTAAAATAAAGAAAAATGTACAGGGAACCATCAGTGGAGGAGAGGAAGCCAGGATTCAAATTAATAATTTGGATCCTAAGGAACAAATAAGCATTCAACCAGAATAGCAAGAAGAGAAAAGAATTAAAAAACAAAACAAAAAAACAAACAAAAAAAACCCCAAAGATAGAATAAGGAGCTTCTGGGACATCTCCAAACATACCAACATCCGAATCATAGGGATACCAGGAGAAGAGGAAGAGAAAGAAATTGAAAACTTATTTGAAAAAATAATGAAAGAAAACATCCCTAATTTGGTGAAGGAAGTAGACATGTAAGTCTAGGAAGCAAAGAGAGTCCCAAACAAGTTGGACCCAAAGAAGGCCACACCAAGACACATCATAATTAAAATGCCAAAGATTAAAGATAGAGAATCTTAAAAGCAGCAAGAGTAAGGAAGAGAGTTACCTACAAAGAAGTTTCCATTACACTACCAACTGATTTCTCAAAAGAAACCTTGCAGGCAAGGGAGTGGAAAGAAGTATTCAAAGTCATGAAAAGCATGGACCTACAACCAAGATTATTCTATCCAGCAAAGGTATCATTCAGAATGGAAAGGCAGATAAAGTGCTTACCAGATGAGGTATAGCTAAAGTGGTTCAACATTGCCAAGCTGTTAATACAGGAAATGTTAAAGGGACTTATTTAAGGAAAAGATGATGATCAAAACTATAACCATTAAAAGGGCAACAAATTCACAGCTATCAACAACTGAGCCTGAAAAAACAAACTAAGCAAACAACCAGAATAGGAACAGAATCATAGATATGGAGATTATTTGGGGGGTTATCGGCTGGGTGGGGTAAGGGGGGATGGGGGAAAGTTGCAGGGATTACGAAGCATTAATTGGTAGGTATAAATTAGACAGGGGGGTGTTAAGAATAGCATAAAAAATGAAGAAGTCAAAGAACTTACATGCATGACCCATGGACACAACTAAGGAGGGGGGATTGCAGGAGGGAAGGGGTGTACTGGGTTAAAAAAGACAAAGGGGGGAAAACTGGGACAACTGTAATAGTATAACCAATAAAATATATTTTTAAAAAGTAAAAAAATAAAAAAGTAAAAAGTAGAAGTCCTTAAGTTTGATGAAGAACAATTTAGCAATTTTTTTCTGCACCATTTACTACCTCTAGCTACACTTTCGTCTCTTCAATTCTTTACAAATTTAGTGTTTCTTCATCTAAAAGGTATAAAAGATTCCTGCTTTGGCCACTTTTTGAGGTCTTCATCCTCTTGAGCAAGTTCCCATGGACTTGTAAACATTCAATAAAATTTGTGTGATTTTCTCTTATAAATCCACGTTTGTTAGTTTCATTTTCAGACCTGTGTATTCACTTGAGATGGCCACCTGGGTCCATAAAATAAGTGGATAAGGGGATGCTGCACCACTGGAGAGAGACTAGATCTGGACTTACTCCCCTTGCACCCTCTGAGGCACAAAGTGCTAGAGAGTCAAGGAGAACTTTTTCCTCCCTTATAACGGGTAAGGTGGTATTCTTGTAAGAGTAACAGTTTGATAAAGAACTGGAATTGGTAACTGAAATATTGGTTGTCTAAAAGGGGAGTGGACACCTAGCTGAGTAGCTTAGTTGCTTAGCGTGATGACCTGATTTGCCAAGAATATGGGTTTAATCCCCAGTCAGGGCACACATGAGTCAATCAATGAATGTATAAATGAGTAGAAGGACAGGCTGACGTTTCTCTTTCTCTCTCCCACACTCTAAAAACAAATTCAGTAAATAAAAATGGGAGGGGGCAGGTAGGGGGGAGATATACACCTGAAAGGCTGGCTTATACACCATCCTGAGCATATGCTCACAACTCAGTATGAGCAGGACCAAGGAGTGGCCCCACTAAATATTTTTCTGTTTTTATGGTAGATGTGGTGAAGAGGGAGTGGGAAAGGATGTGGGTATTACTATGTAATTCTTGCCATGGGAGAATATTGGTAATGACTTTTTTGTTTTCTTCCTTATCACCGTATCACTTCAATTTTGGAAAATCCCCCTACCTGATGCAGTGGTCACAGGACCAGAGTTGCAACTACAAATGCTGAAAACAGTGATGATACTGAAGAAGAGCAGAACAGACCACTCCAAAATGTGCCATTTTGGCATGTGGATTATTTTGAGCTGAAGGTAATCAAGATCCAATCAAGAAAAACTTTACCCTGGCTGGTGTAGCTCAGTGGATTGAGCATGGGGGCCTGTGAAGCAAAGGGTTACTGGTTCACTTCCCAGTCAGGGCACATGCCTGGGTTGCAGGCCAGGTCCCCAGAAGGGGACACATGAGAGGCAACCACACATTGATATTTCTCTCCCACTCTTTCTCCTTCCCTTTCCCTCTCTCTAAAAATAAAGAAATAAAATATTTTAAAAAAAGAAAAGAAAAACTTTTACCTGTCCTATAACTACCAGAAGGAGGTTAGATAGGGGGTCTGGCCCAGAAAGAGGAGAAACTATTACCAGAGACAACTTTTATCCAAACAACGTATCTGAAAAGGGCAAACATCTTAATAACAAAC